GCGTGCGTGCGTGCGTGCGTGCGTGCGTGCGTGCGTGGGTGGGTGGGTGTGTGTGTGTGTGTGTGTGCTCGTCCTGCCTCGGCGGTTCCCGGGGGCCACGGGGTGCGTGCCAGCGGCTGCGCCTCGCCGCGAGGAATCCAGGGGTGCTCCGGTCGTCCCGGACGGCCGCCTGAGAGATCCGAGCTTCGACCCGAAGATGGGACGACGAGGATCTTTGGAGCAGTTAGGCTCAGAGAGGCATACATCTACCCCAATGGGCCCGACATCCCACCGCGCGTAGAAACGTGCGGCTTCGGTATCGGGGGCCTTTCGCTGATCCATCGGCGATGCATCGCCGCTTCTGGCTCGATGTCTACAACCCTGAGCCGATCCCCCCCGCGCACGTCCCCCTTTCGGAGGAGGGAGCAGGCGACTCGCCTGAAGTCGGGGCTGTCCCTCTACAGGAGGAGTATTCGAAAATAGTTTAAAATAATATGGGGACGATTTTGTTCACAATTTTGTTGCTCTGTTGGTGCATGTTTTGGCTGTTTTTATTTTTTCGTCCAACGTCCGCCTGTAGAAGGACATGCCCGACCTACGACTCGCCAGCAGAGTCTTGTGCGCCAGAGCTTCTCGCTACAGCTGTTTTGCCCAGGCTAATGGAGACGTGTGGGCGCCGGTCGGGCGCCGGTTCGGGGCGCGGGGGCCGTCGAAAGCGGCGGGCGCAGAGGCACAGGCGCACCGACATGGGCGGGACGCAGAGGGAGGCAGAGCAGAGGGCGCACCAAATCGGAGGAGGCTCGGCGAGCCAAAGAAGGCAACGAACGCGTGGGGCGCAGATAGAGGCAGAGCCAGGGGCGCGCCAAAGAAGGCCACGAGAGCGTGGGGCGAGCCTGGCTCGCCCCACGTTTTCGTTGCCTTCTTTGGGCTTCTTGGAGGTCTGCTGGTGGTCACGGCTGGAGGCAGCTCGAAGAACAAGGGGCGGCGTTTGGAAGGTCTGGGGATTGGTGTTGAACGTATCTTGGTTGAGGGCAGGGTGTAACAGGGCCCCCCGCCTGAGAGAAGGCGCGGGACGCCTGGCCTTCACGGGGACCGCTCCATTCTGAGAAGCCCCTTGGTGTCTGAGAAGGCTGTTACCCTCCTCGCCCGGGCCACGCTGTACCTGAGAGAGACAGGGAGAGATCTATACAGATTCCCTTTAATCTATTTTTGCAGTCCGGGCGGAACGCGAAAGGGGTCCCCCCCCCCAAAAAAAAGCGGACTCCCGGGATCTGGGGCTTTGGGACCCTCTGGACGGGCCTCGAAGCGGCTCCCCGGGCCTCGCAGGGCGTTTTGCCAAGCCTTCCAGCGCACCTAAGGCGATCAGGGGGGTCATCGGAGACGTCCCAGAGACCCCCAAGACAGCATAAGAGCGCTCCAAGAGTGACCGACGTGACCTCCAGATGGCCCAAGAGGCCTCCAGGACGGTCCCAAAGAGGCCTCCAAGAGCACTCCCAAGAAGGCCCCAAGAGGCAGAAATCATTGATTTTCTGTTGGTCTTTGGTGAATTTGGGGGTTCTCCTCTTTTCGGCGTCCCGACGCTCCAAGACGGCGGTCTTCTGGGCGTCCGAAGCCGCCTGGGAGGCTCCAAAATCGCCCCACAACCATCCGAAAGGGCTTCCGGGCAGTCCAAGACAGCCCCAAAACGGCACAACACGGGTCCAAGATGGCCCTCAGAGAGCCCCATGGCGGCCCAAGACGGCCCCAAGACACCTTCCGAAGCATTCCAAATCGTGACCCGGTCGTTCAGAGAGTCCGCGGTTGGAGGCAGGGTGGCCCGAGGAAGCCCCCAGAGGCCCCCAGAATATGCTCAGGAGGCCTCCAGAAGGCCTTAAGAAAGCCTGAAACAACTTTTGTGAGGCCCCCAGAAGCTCTCCAAGGAGGAGCCTCCGCAAAAAAGAGCTGCGGAGGATGGGGAGAATGCGCAGGGTATGGCGAAAATGAAGAAAACATTATTATAGCGGCGTTGCCGGAAAAGGCAACAAGGAGTTATCGCTAAATTGTCGGCTTGACCTTCCTGCTATTCCGCCTGCACACCAAACTTCAAGGACCAAGGTGCATGGCGCGAAGCGCCAATGCAGTCTTGTATATGTATATATATATAGATATATGTGTATGTATGTATATATATGTATACATGTGTACACATATATTCATATATGTATTTCCCCCAGCGGTGCTTGCACTTAGGGGGGTCTTACTTCTGTTGTCAGGAACTGGGGCGTATCTTCGGTCTGGCGGCTATGTGGCCGCCGTCGCCGCCCCGTCGCCGCCTTGTCGCCGCCCGTCGTTCGGGCCGTGTCGTAAGACTGGCGGCTATGTGGCCGCCGTCGCCGCCACGTCGCAGCACAGACTGCACAGCATAGACTGCACAACATAGAGTGCACCACATAGATTGCCCCACATACTTTGCACAGCATAAATTGAGCCACATAGACTGCACCACCTGGGTTGCACAACATACTTTGCACCAAATAAAATGCACAACATCAATTACGCCACAACGGCTGCACCACGCAAGTTGCACAACATAACTTGTACCGAATATAATGTATTATTTGGACTGCGCCACACAGTTTGCACAACATCGGTTGCGCCAGACAGTTTGCTTCACATAGGGTACAACACATTACATAGATACCTATCTATATGTTGTACAATGCAGATTGTGCGACATATCTTGCTCAACCTAGTGCGCACAACACAGAAATTCCCCACATGGATAGCGTCACATAGATTGCCATAAGCACACTGCTTGGGGTCCGTTCCTTGTTCTGTATGCACATACAGGTTAATATGTGTGTACGTGCGTACGCATGTATGTAGCGAGGACGAGCGCACACGTACATACATACATGCATTTTTACATATGTGCAAACATGTATACACATGCATTCCGATGCAATCGGGAGTATGATATACACATATATATATGGATGTGTGTACATATATATGTATATATATATATGTAGCCAATATAATTTGAACAAAGGGGAAGGACTAGGGAGATGGAGATGGAGAGACACATCGTGGAATAAACGAGGAGACGTAGTGGTGTTTGTTGGGGCTAGAAACGGCCATTGCGGCCGAATTGGCAGCACTGTATATAATGAGACGGATCATGATGTGTGGAGCACGTCTCATTGAAGCCACACTGTTGTCATTGTGTGCGTGTGCTTCTGCACTCCTCCTCCGAGTGTGCGTGTTTGCACGTGCGGATGCTTATTTGAGGGATGAGGAGGAGGAGGAGGAGGGGGAGGAGGAGGAGGAAGTAGAGAACGAGGTAGAGCACATAATGGAAACGAAGGATCATGCAGGGGGGGATAGGGAGGACGACAAGGAACGAGGAGAGGAAATTCTACGGAGGCACATTCAATGTCACCATTACTGCGCTCTGATTCCTATACATCGTGCTCCATCCTTCCAACGGTACCGTGCTACTTGTCTTGTTTTATGTTGCACTCACGCTACTCACTTGCTGCTCCCACCGCTCACTCCAGCGCTGCTGACGCTCGCGGCCTCTATCCCCCATGCCTGTCACCCCATTCCCAGTCGCCAGTTCCTCTCACCTTTTCCTGGCTCACGTATTCGTTTCTTTTCTCGTGTCATGATTTCCACGTGTTCTTCCTCGACCTCTCCCCTTCACCTCCCCCCACCGTTCGACCACTTACCTGTGCAACCCGCACCTCTTCACCTACTCACTCCTGCCACCTCCCTCCGCGCCCTCCCCCTTGCAAACGACTTCTCCTACAGCGGAGACCCATGCCAAGAGACACCCTGCTTGCCTCCAGGGCACCTTGGGCTTCTTGGGTGCTGATGGTTTTGCTGTGGAAGCCGTGAGGTTCCATTGACAAAAAGTCCGTGGACGCCCTGGGGTCTCAGGGTTTGGGGTTTCTTGCGGAAGGCTTCTCGTGGACTGGCCTTCGCTGCATTCCCGATTCGGGTCCTGCGTGCGCAGCCCTGCGCACCTGGCGGGCCCAGCACGGGCATGCACTGCTCCAGAGCGCTCTCCGGCACGCTCCGAGAGCGCTTTGGAGCGCTCTCAGGACCCGGCGCGGCGCCCCGATGCTTCCCAGACCCGTCGGCTCTCAGATCCCCGAGGTATCCCGATCAGATGTCGCCCCGATCTTATGTGGCCCCCTTCGTACTTAAAGGGCCACATCCCAGAAACAAAAGTTCGAGCACCCAGGAAAGGCGCCGAAACGGTGCCGAGCAGGCATCGCCTCCCGGGGCCCGAGGCGTGACAACCGTGCAATGCCGGTGCCTTCCTGGTGCCCCAAGTTCTTCGCTGGTGATCGGGGAGCTCTGGTGGGTTGGGACACCGTGGCCCCGATCCCGGCGGCGACCTGCCTGCCCCCCTGGGTGCTGCTCGAGCGCGGCGTGCTGCAGCTGCAGCGCCCTCGGCGCTTGTGGGGCGGCGGCGTGTCGGCGAGCGGAGGCCCGAGTGTCTGGCGCCCTGTAGGGCGCGCGTCTGCTAGGGGGCCGCATGCGAGCCCTGCCCCTGCCCTCCTCCTCCCCCTCCTCCTCCCCCTCCTCCTCCTCCTCCTCCTCCTCCTCCTCCTCCTCTTCCCCAGAACCCGTTCTTCATCCCGAGCCGATGTGTGACGGCCCCGAGGCCTGGCAAGGCCCCACACGATTTCCGAAGGGGGAGGGTGGGGCTCACTTCGCTCGGGAGCTCCCGAGCGAAGTGAACCCCGCCCTCCCCCTCAGAAATCGTCGGGGGCAGGGGCAGGGCTCGCATGCGGCCCCCTATCTGCTCCGCCGGAGGTCTGGTCTTGATGGGCAGGAGCCCGGCACCGGCCGCGCCAGCGGGGGCCACGGCGCAGACGGCCCCCCGGGGCGAGGCGAGGGCCTCGGAGGGCGAAGGCGACGAAAGACCTCCGTCCTGCTTGCTCTCTACGGCGCGAGCAGGCCTGGGGATGGACGGCGTCCCGATGCAACGGGGAGTGGCTGCGCCCGCGGGGTGCAGGATTCAAATATGATCGGGGGCGGAAAAGACGGGGGTGATGACTAGGGGGGGGGGATATCATGGCGGGGGCCATGATATCTTCCCAGATCTCAGGGCGCCTCTTCTTGATTCATTACGTCCCCAGCCCCCCCGCTGGGCCGTGCACATGCCGCCGGTCATGATTTGCACCCCCCCCCTCTTGGACACCCCCCTCTTGGCCGCTCCCGATATAGGGGAACAAAAAGTGGCATACACATAAAAACTCGGAGGTCCGCACGGATTTCTCGGATCGGCGCTGGGCCCACCTCCCTGGCGCGCGGAGCGCGCCAGGGCCGGCGCCGGAGGCGCCGCCGGGGAGCCCCAGCGCCGATCCGAGAAATCCGCGCGGACCTCCGAGCTTTTATGTTTATGTCACTTTTTGTTCCCCTAAATTAGGCCAGTCGGCAGATCGGCAAATCGCGCCACGGCCTGCCAGTATCGAATTGGGGGCGCGGGGGGGGGGGGGGCGAAAGCAAACATCGAATCAAGAAGGTGCAGGATGTTGTCCATCAGCCGTCACTTGCCTTCGGGGACCGAAGGAGTTGACATCTCTTCCTCGGATGCCACGGCCCGACGGTTCGACGACGCCTGCTCTGCAGCGCGCTGCAGCCGCACAGACGGCGACTGGGGAGCGCTCCTCGCCTGCGACTGCGAGATGTGGAAGAATCGGCTATACGCAAGAGCGACCCTGGGTAAGAGTGACCTTTGGTGCGCGCCTCTTTTGGGGCCGCGGGGGGACCACACCTGGGCGCGCGACCAGCTGCCACCTGCTTCGCTTCCAGCCCCCTCTGGGGGCCTATCCGTGCCCGCAACAAAGGCCACTCCTGCGGAAGGTCACTCTCACGTCTAGTCGAGGAGGAGGAGGAGGAGGAGGAGGAGGAGGAGGAGGAGGAGGAGGAGGAGGAGGGGGAGGGGGAGGAGGGGGAGGAGGAGGAGGAGGAGGAGGAGAGGAGAGGAGGAGGAGGAGGATGAGGAGGAGGAGGAGGAGGAGGAAGAAGAAGAGGGGGAGGAAGAGGAGGAGGAGGAGGAGGAGGAAGAGGAGGAGGATCTGGAAAGGTCCTACTGCGGCGCCCCGGCGCACCCGCCGCTCCCCTGCACGGGGTTCGCGCCCCCTCCTGGGCGACGCCGTCGCCCCGCTCCGCTCCGCTCCTGCGGCGGCGGCCGGCGGCAGTGGCGGCAGAAGCCCGCCGACGCGCAGCGGGGGCGGCGCAACCCGCGGAAGGCCAGCGGAGGTTGGCGGAGGTGAATCGGCGGCAGGCGAGGGGGGGGCGTGAGGAGGAGAGGGGTGTCTCAGAGCGCGGCGGGGCTTCTCAGAAGCCCTCGCGCCTTCCGAAGAGTCCTCGGCGTCCTCGGGGAAGGCTCCGAGAACCTCTCAGAAGGCCGGGGGGCTTCCGAGCCTTCTGAGAAGGCCCGCCCCGTCTCACATCCCCCCAGCCTCGCTGCCGAGTGAAGCATGTCCATCCGGGAGGTGTCAGCACTTCTGGGCCCAGGGCTTCTGGAGCCCCCCGACGTGGTCCAGATCGGTATCCTGGGCCCGGACATCTTGAGGCACAAGGCGGGCACCGACGCACGCGTCTCTCGGGGCCGACGCACGCGTCTCTCACCACTCTCCGGCCGTGCCCCAGCTCACCCCATGCTCGGCCTCTTGGCAGCGCCGGCCTGCTCTGGCTTGATCCGCAGCGCCATCGCTGCCCCACTGCCCCCCCCCCAGATCTCCTTCGGCGCGGCGTCTGCCGACATGACCAGCACGGCCATCTTCACGGGAGAGATGGACGAGGCGGCGGTCTTCTCCACCGAGGTCGGCGGTCCGGGGCTGGGTGCGCAGGGCACGAGGGGGTCCGCGCGGGGATGGGGCTCGAGAGCGGGCGGCCCCTCTCTCGCATCCAGAAAAGGGGGTGTGCGGTTGAGCGGTGCAGTGCGTCCTCCCTCGAACTCAAGCGTGAGTTTTTGTTGTCCAACGACGTGGCGACGCCCCCGGACCCCCAGTTTCAATGCTGACGCCGAAACTGGCGACTGCATTTTTTTGTTGCCCCCGCGGGCCGCGCTGCGTGCGCCCGTCAGCATGAGAATTCGGGGGCGAGGGGGTTCGCTAAACACTTGCGCTTGAGTTCGAGGAGGGCTGTAGGCGCGTCAAATAAGCAAGGACCCACCACGACGCTGTTTAGCTTGGTTGCTGCCTTCGTTTTGTTCTGCTGGCAGGCCGATCGCTGATTTGAAATCAGAGGTCGGCCTGCCGGCAGGTGCCCCCCGGCGGTTCCTTATGCCCCGCCGTGGATGGTTGCGGCCAGCCAGCAGTCGCATCGGGGGCGCCGCAGGGGGGCTCCACGATCGACAGCAAGAGTGTGCCCCTCCGCCGGGCCCCGGATGTGTTTCAGCACAGTCGCTCATCACATCTGCAGTCAAAAACCCTAACAAGGACGCGCGACTTTGCTCAGGGTACCCTTGCGTCCTTGCTCTTCCTTGCTCTTGCGTCCTTGGGGTTTTCGTTGTGCGCCGCCCCCAAAATCCCAACTTCGGCTTCCAACGGTCTTGCGTCCTTACCGCGCGTCCTTATTAGGGTTTTTGACTGTACCTGCTGTGTCGTGATACGGGTCGCTGCTGCTCCGTCGCCCATGCGTTTCGATACCAGGTTGGGCGCCTGCAGCTCCCTCGCAGGGCGAACGAGGAGCTGCTCGGAAAGGCCGTCGGAGTTGTGAGGAGAGACCCCGGAGTCCAGACGCGCTGCGTCGCGAGGAGCTCACGGGCCCAAGCGCGGCAGCAACCCAGTGAGAGGCTGACGCAGGCTGGGAGGGGGGGGGCATCATTGAGCACCGCACGTCGAGTATGACAGAGCACGAAGGAGAAGACATTGGCACTGGACGTGTAGATCAGTTGGTTGGGTGAAGTGTTTGATGACCTTGTAACTTCTTCGTTCAGGTCACTGCGGCGATGCTCGCGATGCACATGAACGCGGCGACGTGGGCAGGCCACCGCTGCACGGTTGCGACGCTTCGTGTGAGCCCAGAGCGCAGTCCATTGGCAGATAAACGTGAACTCAGTCCGTTGCGGCGCTCTCCGTGGGAGCATTGCTGGGTGACGAGGTGGTTCCATGGTTGAGGCGGGGGTGGTTACAATGTAGGTCGGCTGGGCGGGGACATGGAAGGGCGCATCCTGATCCTGAGACATACAGTCCTACGTGCCTCTTTGGGATATGTCCACAACTCTCACCTACGGTAGGTTCGTGTCGTGTCGACCAGCGGCGATCCCGCCAGCGGCGTTCAAAGTTGAACGCCGCGGGCGACCCAGAATAGTTCGATGTGGAACGATTTGGACGTTTCGGAAACGGCCGATCGTTCCAGGTTGAACGATCCCCGCGGTGTCAGACACCAACGCCGAAGTCGGCACGACACGAACCTGACGTGTGGCCTTGTGAGGTCACCGCTCTCTGACGGCTCAAGCGCCGTCGTGGTCAGAAGTCACGGTCGAGATGCGCGTGCCTGTTGCATGGGGCACGTGCTTGCCTCACGTGCAAGACGCGTCTTTTCGATCTATTGTCGAGTGTGCTGATTGGAGGCTCAGCCGGCTCTCGATTGACAAGTTCCCCAGACAGTGCTTGCGTTTAGGGGATGTGCTCGTTTTCCTGTTCATTGCTTTGCCGATCGGCGCGCGCCCTCGCACCATCTCCCCCTCCCCCCCCATGGAGTAGATCTTGGCTGTTTGGGGCGCCCGTTTCGAGCAGGTGGAGCCTCCCCCGAAGGACTCACTGCTGTAAACAGTCGCCTGAAGCAGAGGTCCAGAGCCAGACCGCCCCCCCTCCCCCCCCTTTCCGCCCAATGTCGAAACGCCGAGTAAGAAAACGCTCGTGATCTGACCTGCCGTTCTTGAGCAAGTGGATGGGTGTGCCAGGGTTTCGGCGGGTTATCGGTTGGTCGGCGCCAGTGTTAAGTCGGGCGTGTCCCTCTACAGGAGGAATGCTCAAACATAACACAAAATGTAGTTTTGGGTATTGTTGCTATTGCTATTGGCTATTTCTGTTGTTCTTGAGTATTTGTTTTGCTATTTCTTAGTTTTTCGCCCAACATCCGCCTGCAGGAGGGCATGCCCGACCTAACGCCACTGGGCGCACCGCGGGCGGCCGCGCGCTGGGCGGCTGCGCCGAGGTCTCGCCCGAGGGGTGCCCACGCGTGGACCCCCCTCTCGTGCGTCTGGAGGCAGGAGAGGGCTATGCTATAAAGGGGCGTGGTGCCAATTCTGTGTGAGGGGGGGCTCTGGCGATGTTGTCCATCGCAGATAGCATCGCTGCTTCCACGATCGGCACCATGCAGTACCCCTTCCATGCCACACCTTTCCGACCCCCGTGGGCACCTCTCGTGCGCCTGGAGGTCGGAGAGGGCTATGCTATAAAGGGGCGTGGTGCCAATTCTGTGTGAAGGGGGGACTCTGGCGATGTTGCCCATCGCAGATAGCAACGCTGCTTCCGCGTTCGGCACCATGCATTACAGGATCCCCCCTTCATGCCACACCCCTTTCCGACCTCCAGGGTGCGCCGGGCGGGCAGTGCCGAGATGTTTCGCCTGGCCCCGCGCGTGGGCGCGTCGTGGGCGCCCCTCGCGCTCCGGGCCTGGGCGTCGCCGAGGTGTCGCCCGGTGCCCGCCCTGTGGGCGCCTCGTGGGGCGCCTCGCTTGGCTGGGCGGCGCCATAGCCTCAAGTCGGGCCTGGCCCTCTACAGGAGGAGTATGCAGAAATGGTCAAAACAAGGTCTGGGGACGATGTTTTGAGCACTTGTTCCGGCTATCTGGGGTTATGTTTGGAGCATGTTTTTTATAACATTGTTCGCCCCAAATCCCGCCCGTAGGGGGACATGCCCGACCTGACCATAGCCTGGACCACACGGCTTGCACCACACGGCTTTCGGCACACGGCTTCTGCCCGTAGTGCTCTCGCCACGCCAGCTCTGACACCACGCAGCCTGCGGCACACGGCTTCGCAGCTTGCATCCCACGTACGGCCAGGAGCGGCTGCTCGCCACGAGCGCGGCCGCTCCTTCCGGGCACAGGGCGGGTGGAGGGTGACCGCCGTCACGGAGCCAGTGGGCCCTCAAGGGTCTGCGCCCTCTCGCGGCAGGTTGTGAGCCCGCGTGGGCACGAGCCCCTATACGACAGCTGGCACTCTTCACGCTGGCATCGAGGCGACGACATCATCCAGAGCACGGATGCCTTGACGCTTTTCTTTACGCTTTGCCTCAGGGATTCTTATGTGTGTTTGAATTCCAGGTGGGTGCACGCCTGCACAAGCCGGCATTGCTCGGGTTCTTGAGGTTTCCTTGGTCTTGTGTCTTTATTGTTTCGGACGGCCGGGCTTGCCCGCGTTCCTCGGGTTCTTCGGTTTCCATGGTGTTGTTCCATGTCTGTATTTGAAAAGGTGTTCCTTGGGCTGCCAAGCAATACTAAACGATGCCACGCAGCGCCAAGCAACACAAAGCAATGCAAATTAACGCAAAGTAATGCAAAGCAATGCCAAGCAATGCAATGCTGAGCAGTGCCAAGCAATGCCGATCAATGCCAAACGATGCCAAGCTATGCCAAGCAGCGGTCCCAAGCAATGCCAAGCAACGCCAAGAAACACTAAACAACGCCAAGCAAGGCAATGCAAAGCCAATGCCAAGCATTGCCTAACAGTGCAAAGCAACGCCAAGCAATGCAAAATCAATACCAAGCAATGCCAAGCGACGCCATGAAGTGCCAAGCAACGCCAAGCAATGCAAAGCAATGCCAAGCAATGGTTTGCATCGTTTTTTTTTTTTGCATTGATCAGAACTGGTTTGAGTTATGTTGGAAGAACGAAGAAACAATATTTGGGTCGCGCTGGGTTCATTTGAAGACGGGGTCCCCAGAAGTCCCGATCCTGAGTCGTTTTCCCAACGTCCTGGGGCCTCGATAGGGCCCCCGGAGGCCGAAAACTGCTCTAACCCGCCATCTTGATTCTGGTCAGTGAATTGGATGTCTGGGGACTCTACTAGCCCCACACGGTCTTGTCTCGCTGGCCCCGCTCACTGGAGCCCCCGAGACAGCAGACCCAGCACTCCCCTACCCAGATCATTGGATACCAGATTTTTTCGGGCGCGATCGGGTGCGACCGATCGATGCTCCAAATCGGTCGCAACCGATCGCGACCCATTCCAAAATCGGTCGCGACCGATACCAGCGTTTGAAGCGGAATCGGTAGCGACCGATCTGGTCGGTCGCGACCCGAAAATTCTAGCATCCACTGATCAGGGTACTCCTCGATCCTCGATCCCAACGTCCAAAATACCTCGATCTTCAATCGAGCCCCCCTGGAAGAAGGAGCAGGGAGGAGGAAGGAGGGACGAGGAACGAGGTGGGCCACGAGGAGGACGAGGGGGAGGGGTACCCTGCGCGGGACGCAGCAGCTCCGCAGCTGATGTTTGCCTACAGAAAAAAGAGGGTGCTCTGTGCCCCGCAGGCCGCGGCCCGACGTTTGCCGAGCGCCACCTGGCCGCCCCGTGCCAGGACAGCCGCGTGGTGCAGATAGTGCCGCCCTGCGGCGACCGGGCCGGCCATCGGCCAGCAGCGTTTGGGCGTTGCGTAAGAGGGGGGGGTCATACATGGGGGGGTGGCGAGAGTGGTCCGAAATCGTACCCAAACAGTACCGAAACGAGCCCCCTGGGGCTCCGGAGGGGCCCGAAAGGGGCACGAAAGGGGACCGTTTTTGAACCCCCCATTAATGACCCCCCCGTTAAGTCACGCCCAAAGAGTTGCCCTTCACCCCCCCCCGTCTGCAGGCAGCAGGGCTGCGTTTTTTTGTCGCAGCGTTCGGCCCGCTGCCCCTCAGGAAATGCGTGTTGGCCTCCAGTCGTGCATGTCCCTCTACAGGAGGAAAATTCCAAAATTGTACAGCATAGTCTGGTGACGGTTTTTGTCTGGTAATCTTGTGTATTTTTGAATATTTGTCGGCTATGTGTTATTTCTCTTCCAAAATTCGCCTGTAGGAGGACATGCCCGAGCAAATGTTAGCCCAATGTATGTTTGCCCCGTTCCGTTCCGCCGATAGCACGTAGCCTGCGTCGGCTCTCTCGTAACACCGCCTGCGTCGTACGGAAGGACTTCGGTGGACTACAGCCCCGTGCGGTAAGCAGTTGGTGCGTTTCTACACGCACGCACCTCTGGAACCCTCCCATCCCTCCCAAACGCTCATCAGCATCATCATCATCATCATCATCATCATCATCATCATCATCATCATCGTCATCATCATCACCATCACCATCACCATCACCATCACCATCGTCATCGTCATCGTCATCGTCATCGTCATCGTCATCGTCATCGTCGTCTTCTTCTCCTCAATCTCTTCAGCCCCGTCCGAAAAGCAATCGGTGCTTGTCTACACGCGCACGCACACACGAACGCACGCACGATGTCAACGTTCCATGCGGTGCCGAGTTGTTGTTTCGATCTTCGCCAGTCGCCCGATCAACGTTGAAATGGAGAGGGCCGGGGGGGGGCTCACCAACCACCTGTTGCTTTTGGTACGGGGTTGGAGAGAATGACGAGGAAAAAACGACAACGACGACGATCAAGACGACGACGACGACCACGACGACGACGAGGCACAGGGAGGAAGAAGATAACAGGTGATGACGACGCAGGAGGAAGGTTGACGACGACGACGAGGGCGAGGATATGTTTCACGCGCCAGAGCAACGAGAAACACGCAGTACACACATGCGATGAGAAATCTTGTTTAAAGGAATATACGGCCACACTTGCCGTCGATCTTTGAAGTTCCTGAGGTGCCTCAGGGCTTCCATGGCCCCCCACGGCCATCAAGGGATGAGAAAATCCCCGCGGGGCACCTGCTCTCAGGTTGGTTTCTTACCTAGCATGCCTATTGTAGTGAAGGGCAGGCAGACCATGGGGGGGCGAGAAGAGAAGCGAGGATGATGACGACAAACATGACAAAGAAGGCGAGACTGGTGACGAGAGGGGGGAAAGAGGGTGAATCGTCGAGTCCGTGAAATCATAGGTTCCCGCCGTTGTCCGCCAATTACCCGCCTATTACTTGGTTTATTACCCGTTTATGGTTCACGAACTACCCGCCGCATGTCTTATTGTAAGAATGCGAATCCAAAAGTTACAAATCGTCATTCGAACAGAAAGATGCGGGTGATTGGAAATACAGGAGCGGGTAATACACTGGGCAATCGGCGGGAACATTTGATTTCACTCCGCTGCACTCCTCCCCAACCTCTGGAACCTCCCACCCCTCCTGAACCGTCCGCACTGCTCCCACAAACTTCCGAAACCGCCCCATTCCTCGACGCTCCTCCGCATTCCTCCGAACACCTGCAGAAACGACATCCATCCGCAACCCTCCGCACTCCTCCGAAAACCTCTGGAACTCCCCCATCCCTCCTAAACCCTCCTCGTCATCATCCTCCTCCTCGTCCTCCTCCTCCTCCTCCTCATCATCATCATCATCATCATCATCATGTTCACCATCATCATCATCAGCAGCATCATAATCAGCATCAGCATCATCAGCATCATCATAAACATCATCACCAGCATCATCATCATCATCATCATCATCATCAGCAGCAGCAGCATCATTATCATTTTCCAACACGTCATGCGGTGCCGAGTTGTTTCTTCGAACTTCGCCAGCCGCACGATCAACAGTGAAATGTTGAGCGCGGGGGGCTCACCAAACACCAATTGCTTTTCGCACGGGACTGTAGCACAAGTTAACGCTAGCGCACGTTCTGAAAATCATCGATCGGCGGTGATGGGACGACCCCAGAGCGTTCCAGAGCGTTTCAGAACGCTCTTAGAGCGTTCAGAACGCCCCGAGGAGGCCGCGGCGCCCGATGCATCCCCCAGAACCGCCAGATCTCAGCGATCTCCGATGTGTCTGCGTATGGTCCTTGTCCTGGCGTCGTCTTAGAAGAGGCCCCCTCCTCCCCGGGAGCAGGCCTCTCTTCCGTGGGCGGCGGCCGCGGCGGCGCGCGGCGCCGAGGGCCCCCCTCGGTGCCGAATGGCACACGCGAAAAGTGCAACAACAGACAGTCGGACCGAGGTATGTAAGATCGAGGTCGGTTCGGGCAGGGTGCCCTGATGTTCTTCGTGTCTGCCAGATGTTCTTGTGCACCCTGGGGAGGGCACCCTTGGACGTTCTCTGTGTGTGTGCGTGTGTGTGCGTGCGTGTGTGTGTGTGTGTGTGTGTGTGTGTGTGTGTGTGTGTGTGTGTGTGTGTGTGTGTGTGTGTGTGTGTGTGTGTGTGTGTGTGTGTGTGTGTGTGTGTGTGTGTGTGTGTTTGCGGGCGGAGGGTCTCGTGTTCTTGAAGGATGCTCTCCTGGCCTGGGGCCGACTGTGCAGCGCAAACGACGAGAGTGGCCCTGCGCAGCTTTGGGGGCCGAAGCGGCCCAGGGGTGCACACCGTGCTCCTGGCGCATTGGCCGCGTGCTCCCGCCCGTGCGGAGAACTTCTCTGGCCGCGCTCGCCAGCTTCACGCTGCGACGGGACGACCTGGCAGTTTCTCCTCACGGGCTGCGGCCTCATCTCCTCCCTCCTCCTCCTCCTCCTCCTCCTCCTCCTCCTCCTCCTCCTCCTCCCCCTCCTCCTCCTCCTCCTCGTCCTCGAGTTGCGCAACCAAAAGACGGCCAGCAGAGCTGCAGGTGGGAGCCCGCTCCGCGTCGGATCCCCTCCGGCTGCGGGGCAAGGCCGCCGGAGGACATCCCCACGGCCAGCTCCGCACCGTGGCTTTTGGCCTCCGAAAGGCCGCCTCCCGGCCCCGTGGGCCGTCAAGTAAATGTCTTGCTCGGAGCAGAGAGCGGGCCCAGGGGAAAGCGGGACTCGCGAGCAGGGGGGGCATGGGGGAGGGGGGGAGGCTTCTCAGAGTGTGAGGCTGCTTCTTAGAAGGCGCGGGCCTCGTCTGACGGTGCAGGGCCGGCGCCTTCCGAGAAGCAGCCTCCTGCTCAGAAGCCTTCCCGCCCTTCCCCTATCCCCGTGTGCGCGCCACCAAGAAGGGGTCGAGATTGGGGAGCCTCAAGACGGGGTTCAGTGCAAACGGGGGTCGGCCAGGGCACCAGGTCTTGCAGAGTCCTGCAAAGACAGGGTTGCATTGGCCAGGTCCTGCAAAGCCTGATTGGCGCGGGTTTGCATTGACCTGGTTCAGTAGATGCAGGAGGGGAACAAAAACATACATACACAAGTATTCATCGATCCCGAGGAAAATATTGGAAAAATATGTGAACTGGGGGGGAAGACGAAAACCTAGAAATAATATGCAAATATGGGGCATCCTGGGATTAGTGTGTCTTTATATGTGTGTGTGTGTGTGAATGTGTGTGTGTGTGTGTGAATGTGTGTGTGTGTGTGTCCCTGGGCCCCTTTTTCATAGATGCCCGAGAGACCCCCGTGGGCTCACGTCACAGCGAAGATGCGACGCCAGAGGATAGCGAGGCCCGGTCGGCCACCGAGCGGGCCCACAACCTCCCGACGCTCTGGAGCTCTGAGCCCGCTCGGGCGCCCACTTTGGTGGCCGAGCGAGCTCAGACGTTGGTCGGGCTCAGAGGGGAGCCCTGGGGTTATGATGTTCCAACTTACTTTAGCTTTGATCACCAGGAAGAGTTTCGAGCACCGAGAAAGTACCCAAACTCGAGGGTTTTCACGTGTCGGGCCCTGGGGCACCCTCGTTTGACACTGTTTCGACACTTTTCCGGGTGCTCGAAATTATTTCTGGGATGTGGTCCTTAAGTGCGATGGGAGCAACATAACCCTGGGGTGTCTTAGGGTGGAGTTTCGAGGATCAAAGCATCTAGGTTCGAGGAGCGAAGGCGTCTGTGAGCGTCATGGAGCCTTTTTGGGCGTCGTCGCGCCTTCGGGGGCTTCCAGAGCCTTCGGGAAGGCCTCCGAGGGGTCCGAAAACCTCCGAGGACCTCGAAAGAGGCAGGCGCCCTGGAGGTAAGGCTTTTGAGCTGTGTCGCCCCACTGGGGGCCTTCTGGGGCTCGCGGGTCGCCTTGCTGGACTCTGTCGGAGCAGCGGCCAGAACGCATCTGGGGGCCGACCCAGGAAAGAGGGAGTGAAGGGAAGATCCAGAGGACAAAGTCTGTTGCACGTTTTTGTTACGCTCTCGGGGTTCGGGAGCGCCGCGACGCATGCGGCACGGAGGAAGCAGGACGCATACAGGCAAGAGCGGAGGAGGAGGAGGAGGAGGAGGAGGAGGAGGAAAGGGAGGAGGAGGAGCAAAAGGAGGAGGAGGAAGAAAAGGATGAGGAGGAGGCGGAGGAAGGAGGAGAAGGAAGAGGAGGGAGGAAGGTCGGAACAAGAAGCGCCCCATTCAAGAGGAGAAGCCAACGCAGGAGGGGCATCATGGGACCTCCGAGGCGTCCAGTGACGTCCAGGGAAACAAAGGTCCTGACCTCTTCTTCCCTGGGGCCGTGTTCTGCGTCCTGGGCCGTGTTCTGGCGCTCCCAGGGCCCAGCGAGGGCCCCGGGAGGCCGCAGACGGCAGCAACACTTGCCCGCCCTGTTGTTTGCTGGAGCGTCGG